TACCACTAATTATTACATTCTGATCAATGCCTGCGTGCTCCCAAGCTCCACATTACAGGTTGAAGAGAAGAGTAACACGTGGTCCTGGGGGATTTTGAAGATGTTAAAGGGGAAAGATGACAAAAAGAAAAGTATACGAGAGAAACCTAAAGTCTCTGAGTCAGACAGTAACGAAGGTTCATCGTAAGAATCAACCAACTAAATCCAGTGCACAATAACTACACTAATATTTATTTAATGAAATGCTACTAATATTCAATAATCAATAACCAAATTATGATAGGCTTAAACCATCTTAATGTTATTTTCCATTAATCATCTTAGCCTCATTTATGGTGTCGTCCTTTAAACTCATGCATTACGTAGAGGAGCCCAAGTATCCAAAATTATCATGTAGTTGAAAGATATATTTCACTTTCCCCACAAATGTGCACAAAAAGCCCCTTACACACAAGTGCACACACACCCTCACACGCTCATACACAAACACTCACGCATTCCATTTAGTAGGATTTTTTTAACTGTACTGTTTCACTCAAAAGCTCACAATTCCAATGCCACATTTTACTATACAGTGCTCTATATTGACTACTCTTAAAAATATACATTCTCTTTTAAAAATTAATTTGCTAGAAATAAAGGACATGATTTGGAATTTCTTTTCTCTACATACAGTATTTAAAATCTTTGTAACTCTGTTCCTTAATAATGACATATTAATGCGATTTGAATTATATTTCTCCTATTGAAATTATTCTAAATATCTTGAGTTTGTCTAAATAAAAACTAAGCTAAAATTTTTCTTTTTCCATCCTAAAAATAAGCCTGTAGTATAAATTCCATACATATGAATTTAAGAATCTTAATCATGTTTCCTGATACAAGGAAGTCTTTCTCTTTTATGTATACCTAATGAATTCACCATATTTAACTAAAGTCTTTGTAAGCTATTAATTCTATATAGCATTCCTAATTTTAAACCCTTTTGTGAAACACCAAAACAACAGTACAATAAACAGTAGAATTGAAATTTTAAGAAAAGGTGAGAAGTCCTCTTTTGAGCAGTATTATGAAAATATAATCCTTACTTTAAAATAAGAGAGTATTTTTCCTGCTTCAATTGCACACCATTCAATTCTGATTTTGAATCATTTGAATTAATGATCCCTCACATTCTGCTTTAACCATTGATTCCTGTCCTGTACACCATTCTTTCAATGGGGGGGAGGGGCAAAGTGTGTTTGTGTGTGTGTGTATGTGTGTGTATGTGTGTGTGTATTTAGAAGTCATAGTTCAGAAAATAATAAAAGCACAGGTCTTTTTTTGTTGCAACTAAATGCCACCTAATCCTGATATCAGATCACTTTTATTAATAAGCTTTCACTCTCTAGTCTAAGTGGATATTCCTCTCATGCACCATTCTCCTGGGGGTATATATGTACATATTAGGAAAACGTGGTCATATTCCTTTGGCCTCTATTGACTCTGACTTTGCGTTTTTACTCTGTAATTCAACTAACCAGGTTTGGCCAGAGATATGTATGCCACAATGACTTGAAAATACTGAGTCCATTAAATTTACTCTGGTGTGATACTCAGAGTAAATTTTCTATGTAATAATGTTCTATGTAAACCTCAGAACAAATCTGAAAACATTGGTCTAATGTCTGTGGGTAAAATAAATCAACTGAGTGTCTTTCTTGAGTGTTGATATTTTGGGCCAATTTGGGGTTCAAAAACAGTCTTACTAAATTCTAAATTGATGGGCAGAAACTTCAATTTAACGGAGAAATGGAGGATGAGAAAGGAATGATGGTCAACAGATTAATTAACCTGTATGTTCCACTGGGCTATTGGCTGTTCATACCTCTCCTATATAACTAATTTCCATGTTCATATTAGTCTGATTATAATTATGTTTTCATTTTTTTTCCAGTTTCCCTTCTCCCCCTAAACAATTGAGTAAGTAATAAAAGCTAATTGTATATTCTATATCTTTATTTCTTACAAACGTGGTAGTGGGAAAGCATTGGATACAGTCACAATGTCAGTGTTAATGTCTTGACTCTGAAAATAAAAAGTATGTAACCTTGGGCAAGTAACTTCACCTGGGGTGGCCACCATTGCTCAAGAATAAAATAGCAGGATGAGAAAAATTAAAAATATTGATGGTTTTTAAACTGTTCTTCCAGGAGGTACTATGGAGTTAGGGATAAGTGAGAAGAGAGAGGCACCCACAACCCCTGTGTCTCCTTACTCCAGTTCAGTCCAAGCTTAATATATGGGACTTCTGCTTAAAATATCTAAAAACATGCCAGATTGTGTGCCAATAAGGCCCATTTAAATCTATTTTTTTGATTTTTTAAAATGTATGATTAATATTGTACTTGGAAATTTTTAAATGTAGC